TATTAATTTTTTGTTTTTATAATGTTTCTATGGTTATATAAAATGTCAACGTTAGGAGGAGATGAATAAAGGGTCTATGGGTACTCTGTACTATTTCTATAACTATTGTGTAAGTCTAAAATTATCTCAAAAAGGTTTTTTTTAAAAAGTCAGACTTGATCAAGTTGTAGAGACCTCAATAGCTTTTGAATTTCTCTATTATAATTGACTAATCAGGTTTCTTCCATACTTTTGAGTCACTACTTGTAAAATATTCTTCTAGAAAATATGAATTATCAACTGACTCAATAATAAATAGCTTAGTAGCTTGATAACTATCAAAGAGTGTGAAATTACACCAAAAATAATTTTCCCACCAAAAAAAAAAAAAAAAAAAAAACCCACCTGCCCAAACAGGTTTTTAGGGAAATTTTACCAAAACTATAAGAAACAGATAATCCATATAAATTGTTAAGATAATTAAAAAATAGAAGAAAAAATATCTAACTCACTTTTTCAAGGGAGTATAACCTTGATACCCAAATCAGATGAGAAAAGTTTAAGAAAAAATATCTAGCCCCATTGCTTTTATGAAGGTAGGTAAAAAATACTAGAAACTTTGGTTAATGGAAGGCAGTGTGTGCCTGTGAGTGTGCTCTGTGTGTGTTTACTTGCACATGGATCATGCCAACCTGGAATTTATCCCTGGCATGCAACAGGGAATCTATCAGTACCATTCAGCATTTTCTAAGAGGCTAATGAGAAAATAAAAAAGAATGAAGAAAAGCTCTTCAAAGAAGAAATACAAGTAAATCCATCTGACAGATTGTTTCATCATATTTAACCAGAGGAAAACACATTCAAAATGTCGCATTTTTTAGCCAGTTGGGAGAAATGGGAAAGACTGTTATTTGTTGATGTTGCCTGCATGGGTTAAGAATGCAGATTGTTACAGTATTCTGGGGAATCTCTTTAAAATAGATTACATTGTGGGGAGCCTGGGTGGGTCAGTCATTAAGCATCTGCCTTCGGCTCAGGTCATGATCCCAGGGTCCTGGGATCGAGCCCCGCATCGGGCTCCCTGCTCAGCGGGAAGCCTGCTTCTCCCTCTCCCACTCCCCCTGATTGTGTTCCCTCTCTTGCAGTGTCTCTCTCTGTCAAATAAATAAATAAAATCTTAAAAAATAGATTACATTTTTAAATACATGGTTTTTAGTCTCTGAAAATCCACTCCCAAGAGTATGTTTTAAGTAAATAATTGGGCAAGAGTACAAATATCATCTACAAGGATGTTTCTTGCTTAAATGGCATTGACCCACCAAGGGGATGCTGGCCCTTATTTCCTGTCACTTTCAACTTGGGATACCAAATTGGACGTAAGGTGAGGACCTGACACAGCTCCATGGATCAGAAGACAACTCATAATGACTGTATCACCTATTTCTGTATGTTTGGGTTAATATCAGTTGTTTACTCCCAAAATATTAATTATTGACTATTAACAATCAACAGATGGGAGGATCTTAGGAGTAGCCTGAGCCAGTGGTCCTCAAACTTGAGTGTACATCAGAATCACTTGGAGGTCTTGTCAAACCACGGATTGCTGAGACAGCCCCCTGACCAAAGTTTCAGATTTAGTAGACCCACGAATTTACTTTTCTGACAAATTCCCAGGTGTCACTGATGTTGATAGCTGAAGGACCACATTTTGTGAACTACTGCTGTCAGGGAAGCCTCTTGATTCTTTCTCTTTATTTGCAGAGTAATTGACCAGAGAGAAAATAGAAGAAGACTCTAGGACAAAAGCCATTTCTGTTTCCTCCTGTCCTCTGACATCCTGCCTTTATTTTATTTTCAGAGGGACATTAGAGCATCCATTCAGCTTTTGTGCTCTGAAACCTCACTATAATAACCTCCTCTTGCTATAGTAAAAGCAAAGAGTAGGGGCCCCTGGGTGGCTCAGTCAGTTATGCTTCTGATTCTTTTTTTTTTTTTTTTAAGATTTTATTTATTTGACAGAAAGAGAGACAGCGAGAGAGGGAACACAAGCAGGGGGAGTGGGAGAGGGAGAAGTAGGCTTCCTGCTGAGCAAGGAGCCAGATGTGGGACTCGATCCCAGGACCCTGGGATCATGACCTGAGCCGAAGGCAGACGCTTAACCATCTGAGCCACCCAGGTGCCCTATGTTTCTGATTCTTGATTTCGGCTCAGGTCATGATCTCAGGGTGATGAGATGGAGCCCCATGTTGGCTCCGCACTCAGTGGGGAGTCTGCTTGAGATTCTCTCTCTCCCATCCCCTCTGCTTTTCCCACCCACCCCCACCAAATAAATAAATAAATCTGTAAAAAAAATAAAATAGAATAAGAAGTAAAACAATCAAACCTGAACAGGCCTAAAATAAGTTCTTGCAGCTCATCTAATGGGATCTACTTACCAAAGTACCAGGATCTTTCCAAAAAACACACAAGGACACTTAACTTTCCCTACCATGTTGACACTAAGGTCATCCTTCTAAGCAGGACTCTGCCTTGTATTAGTATTCAATATCTTGGGTTACATTTTTCCAACAATCTCTCAACTTATAGGCTTCTTATCAAAAGGAAAAGAGAAGTAATGATAAAAGATAACAATAAAAATATAATTTGTCTATTTGACTTGTAACATAACCACTTTGAGAAAAGATACAAAGAAAGAAGCATTTGGCACTTGGACCAAAATGGTGACCAATGGGATCACCTCCATGAGTAGGGATGGTTGGAAATAGAATCTTTTCAGTTGACCTGTTGCCAGAGAACACATCAGTGCTTTGAGCTGATGACTGCACTTCATGGTCTAACTTCACATTTCATTAAATTACAAAATGTAATTCAATATAACTGAGGTAATGAGGCTTAATGTGTTGGCTTGGTACACGTTAGAAGATACAAATCGCTGGCAACCATAATTCAGCCAGTTGGTGTCTAACCCACAATCCTAGGCAGAGCCCACCTGACTTAGAAACCTTTTTGTTCTCCTTTAAGTACTGACATTGTGATTTTATTTATTTAAATGCATCATAAATTTCCAACTCTATATTTGCTAGACCAATTTTTAATCAGAAAAATTGCCACCAATTCTTCCATATTAGTTTTTTTTTTTTTTCATTTTAGCTTTATCAAATAGCTTGGTAGTTAAGAACATAGTCTCAGAACCTTATCAGCTGGGTTCAAATTCTGGCCTTGCCATTTTTAGCAGTGTGACCTTGGGTAAGTCACTTATCTTTTAGGTGAGCCTTATTTTCCTCAATTGTAAAATTTTCTCATTGGATAAATTAATTAATACAAAGTACTTAGAACAATATCTGGAATTTGGTATGTACTTAATAAATGTTAGCTCTTATTAAATATTAATTCCTTTGATGTTTTGGTAGCAGTTTCTAGGATAATCCTGTTTAGGGACCAGTTCCCCTAAATTAATCCAACATCATTTCCTAAATGAGTGGGTACCTGTAGGCCTTAAATAAAAGCTGGTTGACACAAGTTGATTATAATACAGGATCTTAAATTTAGCTTCCAACATTATTTTTGGCAGCGTGTAAAAATGGAAAATCTTTTAGCATTAAGTATTGAATAATTCATGGGTGACTTATGTGTCAGGAGCAGTCTCTGGATAGCTGACCTGAAAGGTCCTAGTATGGTTGGGCTTGCTGAGACCTGCCTGCTTGAGAGTTGCTGCTCCTTCCTGGGCTGGACACAATAGGGCCTTATTTCCTTGGGGCCCTGTAGGCTGACAAAAGAGTCCCACCCACCTCTTCTTCAGCAACATCTACAGCCTTCTGTGTGGCCTGAGAGGTGAGAGGCTCTGTGGGTGAAGACCTGGACAATCAGAAAATAGAAGTCTGGGGACTGAAAACTCGTGTTTCATGAAACTGATATATCATGATGAATTCATTCAGATAAATATTAAATATTTGGTTGCTGGCCACTGTGATAGATTTTAAGTTCAATGATGGGCAGTGAGTGATGAATAGCTTTTCAACAATGCATGAGAGGAAGTCCCTAACTAAAAAAAAGGTCTATTTATTTATTTTCCAACTCTTTTGACATAATAATTGACATATAATACTGTGTAAGTTAAGGTGTACAGCTTGTTAATATTATACACTTACATATTGGAAAATGTTTACCAAAATAGTGTTAGGTAACACCCCCATCATGTCACATAATTACCATTTCTTTTTTGAGGTGAGAACATATATCTACTGTCTTAGCAACTTTCAAGTGTATAATGTAGTCTTATTAACTGTAATCTTCACGCTGTACATTAGTTCCCCAGAACTTAATCTGAAAAGAACTTTTAATTTAGAAAAGAAGATGAGAACTCTCCAAAATTATTTTCCATTCTTTATTTTCATATGCAAATATGAAATATTCTTTCAGCAAATTCATAGTCTGCCAATATACAAAAGTTTATATTATATAATGTGTTCTTACATTATTCATGTAAAACTTCTAATGTCATATCTTCATTCCTTTGCTAAGGAAATGCAGTATCTCATTTGTGTTTTAATTGCATTTTTTGATTACTAGTGAGAGTGAAAATTTTATTGTCCCTTTGTAATTCTTCTTTTGTGAATTTCTTATTTATGGTTTCTGCTTTTTTATGTATATAGGCATCTCTCTCTCTCTCTTTCTTTCTCTTTTTGCTTTATTTATTTAAGGAATCTCTATACGCAACGTGGGATTCAAATTTAGGAGCCCAAAATCAAGAGTCACATGCTCCTCCAAATGAGTCAGCCAGGTGCCCCTAGACATCTCTCTTTTTAAGTTAAATGACTGTATTGTATGTTACATGTTATGAGTATATCCCTTTTGTTTTCTTTTTGTGTATCATTGATGGTAACATTGTTATTTCACGTATAAAAATATAATTTTATGTTGACCAATCTATTATTTTTCCTTTTATGACTCTGCCTTTGATTTGAAGCTTTTAAAACTTTCATCATTCAGTATTTACTAATATATAACAAAACAAGTATGTGCTATATTCTTGGGTGTTATTATTATTTTTTTTTACAACACTCTTAATCTATGTAAAATATATTTTGAGGTACAGTATGATGGAGAGAAAAATGATTATTTTTTGATTAGCCAGTCAACCTGGTGCTCTTTATTGAATAACCTAACATTACATGTTAATATTTTCAAAGATATTTTTTTCTAGAAAATTACATATTTTATTACTTATTTCCCTTACACAGTTCTGTAATACTTTTTATTCCTTTGTTTCTTGGCTCCATACTTTTGAGCTGTCTCTTCACTTGACAGTAAATTTTTAATGCTATCCTAGATAGAAAGAAGAAAGATAATTGTGGCATGGTTGATCACACACAAAATTTTTTTTAATTCACAGAGCATTATGATAATGCTACATAAATTTTTAGGATTATAGTCAAATTTTAGAACCCATCTATTCAGTTACTATGTTACTATAAGATTTTATTACATTTCAAGTTTTCTTATGCTGTAACAAATCCTAAATATTATGAACTGATGATACTCATCAACCAATTTATTAAGTCTGTATTAGTTTTGAGGAGATTATATTTTTAAATAGCACTTTTCTTATTTTAACAGTATCGTATGGTCATGTCAGAATGACTTAAAAATACGGTAAAACGTAAAGAAAAGTGTAATTATTATGAATTACATAAACTAGAAGAAAGTATTTTAACTTTTTAAATAGGAATAATCTGACAGTTATATTTGAATTACATAGAGTGGGAAGAAACAGAGTTGAAATTTATAAAACTATTAAACTTTAGCCAAAATTCTTTAAAACTAGATAGAGCAAACCTTGAGCTGTTGGATTCTAAAAATTCATCCCAAGCTATAAAAGATAAAAATCATTAAGATATTGGGGTTATTTTATTTTTTTTCAGCTGCATGTTTCTTACATGAGAATAAGTTTAAATCTTACAGAAAGTAAAATGTATCAATTGTCTTTAAAAAAAATTTTGGAAGAAAAAGCCAGAAAATAGCTGGAAAGAAAGGAATCTACACAGTGTCACAAAATTTTCCTTGCAGTGCTGAGGCTCATTTACTGACCCCAGGTCAAGATATTCTCCTCATCATGCCCTAATGATAGTTACGTGGTACAGAATATAAGATTGGGCTGTCATATGATGTGGCTTTCCTATCTCATTTTTGCCTCTGGTTGTGTATTTTTCTTTTTTCTGGTTGTGCATATTTTTAAAAAAATATCTCAAATGAGAATTTTGGGGTGGTTTTATATCTCTATGGTTCACACAGTTATTTTTATTCTTTGTAGTCTGCTGGGGACAAGGACCATTATCTGTTATTTCCCAATTAATATTATCTTCGCTGGGCACGTATTCTCTGCCTAGAACTGTGACAGGCACTCTTCTGGGTGGGTGCTCTCGGGAAAGTGTTAGCAGGCAAGATAAAGATCTCCACCCTTTGTGCCTGTTCCCATAGGCCCACCCCCATGCTGTTTTCCCACAGCTTCTTCTTGATCTTTCAGTATTATTCCTTCCAGACTCCTGAACAACCAGCGAAACCACTCACCACTGCCCAGTAATCCACCTCTATTTTTTCCTCAACTATTTCTCTTTCTACACAGAGTTGATGGCTAGATGCATTGCCCCAAACTCCACCCATTAGCAGGATTTTTCTTCACTGCCCTTTCTCTGGTCCATTCTTGAGTAAGACTCTGGTACAGTAAGAGTCCATTTTCAGTGGGTATCTGCATCCCAAACTGACTCATCTATGAATAACCTATCTTTCCCTGCTTCATATGGTCTGAAGGTCTCCCATATAGCATAGATGTGAGCTAAAGGAGAGAAGCTAGTGAAATAGTGTTTGATAACATGGTAATCTGGGCTACTTGATTGTGCAGCTTACTTGGGTCTCTGGCCTTGCTCATTTCTGATCGTGGATGCGCCATTTGCAACTTAAGATGGGCACTATTGTGACTTTATGACTTATGGCTCGGTAGACAGAACCCAACTAGAATGGACGGCTGTGGCTTCATGGTCGCTCGTGGCCCAGGTCTGAAGCTCAGTCTCTTCCAGGGTCTTGTAGCATAGTAAGAGCTGTATTTTGAATGGCGTGTACAGTTCCACACGTCAGATGGCATGACCATACTCCAGACTCGTAGCAGTCTGCACTGTGATTTTCCTGTGGGGGATGACTGTAACTGCCACAGGATGTATCCTTTTGCCACAGATGCCTCTAGTACTATCATTTTATTTTACAGGGCTGATTCTACCATGGCTTGTACTTGCTACTTTGGCTTCCACCTGAGGCTCTCAGCCTTGTGTTGCTCAGTAAACGGATTAGAGCAGTCTTCTCAGGTGTGAGATATGCTGCCTCTAGAACCTGTGCTTCCTTCTTAGTGGCAGGAGGGGTAAGATGCAACAATCTGTCCTTTACTTTAGAGGAATGTCTAAGCATGTCCTGGACCTCTGGACTCTTAAAAACTTCTCTGATGTGGAGGAAATGCAAATCTTCAGAGAGTTTATCTCCCACACTCAGGAGCAAATGTTTTACAATGGCCCTCAAATCCAGTGCCATCGTGATATTCTGTGGAATGTACCTTCACACCATATTATGACAGAGGGTTGCAGAACTGACAGAACCCTGAGGCAAGACCTTAAATATTGTCCTTCCTGCTTGAAAGGGAATTGCTTCTGATCCTCCTTCTTGATAGGAATGAGAAAGAATGCATCTGCCCGATTATGTTCCTGAGGCCATGTTGATCTATTTGAGCAGAAATACCAAATCTAGGTAGCCTGTACAATTGGGGCTAATGCTTGGTTGAGTTAGGGGAAGCCCATTCTCATCTGCTAGGATCCACCTGCTTTTTCTAGTGGCCAGACTGGTGAATTAAACAGGGATAAGAAGGTGACCACCACACTAAGTATTTAAGGGTAACACTAATTGCTGGCATTCTACTCAATGATGCAAAAGTCTTTTTTATTCACTCTCTTGAATAGAGTAAGGGGCATTCATCAGTTTCTACTTTGCCTTCCGCATTATAATAGCTATTTCACCATAAGCCAAGGAACCAATGCAGGGTTTCTGCTAACTGCTAAACATGATCCTCCAGAATATACATTTACTGAATGGAGACATGGCCACCAACTGGACCCTTTGTGAACCAGATATGGGACATGACACCATTTATTACCTGGCACTCAGACATCACAACTCTAACAAGGGCTATGATAATGCTTTTAGTCCTTGGCTATCAGAATTTACATAGAACCTTTGTCAAAGTGTCCTCAAAACATTTGATCATGCCCCTGCCCCAGTATATGGTTACCCAAGAAGAGGATAGTGTTCCCTCCTGATTGGAAGACTCATTCCTGTACATTCTTGCTATGGTGCGTCAGGTCCTTTCTTATTAGAACATGGCTTCTCTTCCTGTCACTGAGTTTGAATCTAAGTTACAGGCTCAAGTTTAGAAATTGATCTTTATGAAGCGGACTGATGGGGGTTGAGAATTCAACCTTCTCTTGAGCTCTCTTGCTCTTATAACTGAGTACTGGGCCTGGTTCTCAGATTGTTCTGCCCTTCAGCTGTTAGAGTTGAGTGTCTTTCTGTGCTGCCAATAAGACCTTCTAACATTTATATTTGGTCTTATGTTGGAGATTAATCTCCTCAGGATTTTGCTGTCTCTATCCAATATACCAGTAAGACCAGAACAGCCATTGAGTTTCATATTCTTCCTGGTTACTTCTTTTCCCATACTTCTCAGACTATCCTCAGGTATTCCACCAACAAGTGCATTCTCTTTAGCTCGTGTCCCATTCCATCTCTCTACTGGTGTAATGGTACAACACACCAGGGACTATTAATACTATACCTACCACTAGTGATGGGGTTCTCCATGCCTAGCTTGCTGGCAGATAATCTAGTTCAAAAATTCCAATTTAGAGTCTGCTTCCTAGAACCACTGTTGGCATCAACTCTCTTCTATATTTTTTTTAATCAATTCCCCAGAAAATAGCCTCTGAGGTAGAGATTTGTATGCAGGAAGTTTGCAGAGGAAATGAGAGAAGCAGGGCTGTGGAAAGGAGAAATGAACCACCATGTGGTTGCAACAGAGGTCTTAGCTGGTCTCACTGGCATCTTTGGTACTGTAATGGTGCTTCAGAGATTTCCCAGATTGAGGTGAGGAGGCCACTGGAACCAGTCGCTGGATCTCAGCTTCCTTCCTCCACAAATACTGACCTGAGACCCAGCTGTGAACCATTAGCAGTCAACAATCATGACAGCTGAGGAAATGAGTACCTTGGTCCTGAAAGGGGCTTCTGAGTGGTGTATGCCAGATCCATCATCTCGTGATCCAAGTATAAAGATCCCAGTGAATGCTACAGCCATTTTAGTCCTCTGTTGAATTTTGAAACTGGCAAATCTATTGAAAAAAATCAGCCAAAGATAAAGAACCTGAAATTTAATGGAACAGGAAAATATCCTGCTGGGACAATATAAGCAAAATCTTTGCTCAGAGATAGATCAGATTTCTTCTGGTTTATCTAAGAATTAACCCGGACTTTTGAAAAAGGAAGTATGTTTTTGAAACATTAAGTAAACTATCTACAGCCTGTGAGGGTAAAGGCTACCAGGGAGGGCTAGAGGTTTTTTGGGTAAGTGTACATTCCTCCAGTTGTTCTCCAGGCAGAAGTTCCAGTTGTATTTGCCAAAGATGACATAAAGTTTCTATAAAGATTGAAGTCTTCTTTTTCCTTCCCTTTTGCTTTCCCTTTCCATTCTCCCCCTCTATGCACATTTATTTCAGTGTGAGTCTATTAAGATGCTCTCAGTTTCCCTTGTGCATGTTATAAACCACTAAAGACTGGGGCTAGTTCATAGTGGCCATGGTTTCTTTTTTCCTAGGGGGGACACAAAAAATTAAGAGCACATCAAGAAACTATAAGGAAACAAATGATTATGGAAATGGAGAATTTAGATTCTTGTAACATTTAACACTATGGAAGTCAGGGGAACATGGTAACCATAGGGAGAGATCCTTATCAAGTATTCAGCAACAGACCTGTGCATCTGTCAACCAGAATGTTAGTCAGATATTTCTTTAACCAAAGTTTGGAAGATTTTGAGAGAAGATTCAGAATTCTGTGATCTCCATGGCTTTAATTAAGAAAAGCCCCTGATATATTAATTGAATGTAGAAATAAAGTCCTACAGATACATATACATTATGCTAATAATAAAATGCCTAGAGAACTGAAGACGATCATTTACACACACACACACACACACACTCATATACTCCAGGCATGACAGAAAGGTTGACAGATCAACCAGTGACACTCTAAAAACTCTAAACTATATTTGAAGTTATCAAATGAAAATAATTACTATTCTCTGCATAATGAAATGTCCTCGGTCTCTGACAGCATAGATCTCAGTATCAAAGTACCTTGGCCTTCATTATGTAAAGAATATTAGAACACTCATCTAAGACAATAAATCAGGGGTTGTAGACTGTCATTCCATAAAATGAGTCTGGTCCATTAATTTTTTTTTTTGGTCTCTAGTGTCTGTTTTATTAATTTCTGAAAAATCAGAAGCCCTGGCAACACCAGGCTTACCCCATGTGGCACAAGAACTCATTATTTCTTCTCAGCCTTCTACTATGTGCTCTTGCCACTCTGTTTAGGGACTTGTAGGTGCAACCCTAGGAAAAAATATCACAGTGGTTAATGAGGCAATTTATAGTAAATGAAAGTTACAAGAAGTTAAGGATAAATTGTATTGTTGCTTACCTAACCTTAAAGATGTGACCAAGAAAAAGAAATTAAATGAAAATCTCATTATACAAGGACTCTTATGTAAAGCAACTAATTTGACCAATCAACCATACATGTGGTTAATAAATTAGACAATATATTAAGCTAAAGAAAGACAATGCCTTCTAGACACCCATTTTGTGGGAGCTGTTGCTTAATGACATGAATAAGCTGTACAGCAAGCAAAACACATACACACACACAATTAGTATTTAGTTTTCTGTAAAGTGGTTAAGATAGACCAAATACTCATAAAGAATTGTAAACAGCCTCCTTCAAGTTGTAAGATTATTAGCTGGGGCTTATTAACCACAAATACTGAGGGGATCATCACTTGGCAGTTGTACTAGGAACACTCTTATTAACTTAGAACCAATTCCAGGAACTAGAAGTCAAAACCAGCACAATGAACACAAGACTAGAGAGCTGCACTTACGAGGATGAACTTGGGAGACCCAAGCTCTTTGAGATTGTGGAGAGTTCAGAGAATCCGTGAGGTTAGCACATTCACAGTAGCTGCTTTTGAAGGCCTGAGTACAGTTAAGCCATTGGTGTTGTGTGTCAAGAGGTGGCATCAGGTTCCTGGCAAGCTGGCCTGAAATGAAGGAAGCAAGGACCTCATGACATTCGCCACACCATATGGCAGGTGGAGACTGCTCAGCGTGTCGTCCAGCATCACCTCAGGACAGGAACTGATCTAGTGAGAGTCATTTGATAACGTGAAGCTTGTGGAGGCATTCACATTCTTGCAGATGATTACATTAGCCAGGGAAAAAGACACGACTACAGCCTGAGAACTTTGCAAGAGCCCCGCCAAGAATGGACTAGCAATGAGAGGCCCAGCAAAAGTTACAGAAGCAACAGTCAATGGGTCCGTATTTATCGAGCTCAGAAAGAAGTGGCTGAGAGTGTGGGACCCAGGTCAGATTTTGTGTAATACTACCTTTTTCTGTATTATCATATTCACCATCATAAGCGTACTTCCTATTTATCACGTACTTCCTCCATGCCAGGGACTATGCTTTCTTGTTCTCCTACTTTAGGCTGTTTAAGGGACATTTGGTGAATGAAGGGTAAGCTAATTCTTCCAGCCATCCTGTAAGGATTGCAAAGATGAGAAGTTAAGCATCTTGTTCGAGCTGCCATGGCAAATAGGCAAAAAGTCAAATCCAGGTCTGCCTCATCCCATATCCTATGAATTTCACATTCTGATGGTCTGTGCTGAAGAAAGTGTAAAGTTATAGGGCACCAGGAAGCGCTCAAAGAGTAGTACGGCAGTGGAAGGAGCAAGAGTCGCTGAAGGAGGTCAACAAGGAGGATCTAAATGATGGCTAGAGTCCTGGAAGTGACCAGAGAGGGAGTGGCTTGGACAGATGGAAGCTCAGTAAGGTGGATGTGCTGGACTTGGCTTAGGGCTCAGTCTCAGACCCTGGATGCTAAACCTCTGTTTGTCACAAGGCATGGTAATCTACAGGTTATCTCCAGGTGCCGCTCTCTGTAGGATGTTCTGCTCCAAGCCTGAGAAAGTGGGAGGGATGGACGAGAAGCTCATGCAGTATGGCTGTGGTCCCAGGTGCAGGCTGCCCTTGCTTCTGAATACCTGTGTGGTTGTTGGGTCTGAAGTTGGAGGTTTGCATAAGGTTTTCTCTCACTTTCTGCACAGGATGAGCTCGTAAGAAGGAATGATCCAAGCAGCCACACTTTGTCTCATGGCTTCTATCCTCAAAACATCCATCTGTAACCAGCTATGGGAATTATGAGCTGAGGTGTGGGACCCTATGTGGCATTATGCCTGCAACTCATCATGACCCTCTCCCCCTGTTTGAAGAATTATCTTCCAACAAAAACCCAGCAAGTGTGTTTATTCTCCAGGGGTGGAGGCCCTGTCTGTCCCAGCCAGACAGCATTTTGCCTTGCCCCAGTCAGTGTACTGCAGAACATGCCAGTTATCATGGCATGCAGCTAAGCCATTAGGCTCTTGGGTACAATAGTTGATCTGTTACCAATGCCATCTTGCTAACGTCCTCCAGTGTGGGACAATGCAAGACAAATTTGAAGCCAACAGACTTTGTTTTACAAATCTAGCTGGTTCTCAATTTCCCTGACTAATGAGACACAGAAACTGCCCGAAAACAATGATAGATTAGTCTCAAGCTGTACCCAGCAAAGCCTATCACCTATAGAAGGATTACAAGAAAGCCAAAGAAAGGGTATGTGTCTCTGGATATAAGTATGACGCCTAGACTAGGTTTTGAACTTCTATTTCCAAGTCATACTAATGTTAAATACTAAATGGTAGCAAAAACAGATGGACTTAACTACAAAAAACCAAGGAAGGCTGCCAGAGAACCCAACCTAACAGATTGCTCTAGCCATATAAATAGGTCAAGTAGGACCTCATGCATGCTTTCAGGGAAAGCTCTGAAAGTAATGTGTGTGTGTGTGTGTGTGTGTGTGTAGACGAACAACTAAGCAGAAAGTGATAGAAACCCTTTTTTGTTAGAGGCTATGTTACTGTGGTATGGGTGAGGTGGATACCAAGATCCTTCTGATACTTGCAGTAACTGACCCCTTTGGAAGGTGTCCTAAATTAGCCTCAACAATCCTGAATTCCATATAAATGTTCCTAGTATTGTAGAGAAACTCTGTGTTGTGAGTCTAGAATACCAGTAAAGGAAAGGCAACATGTTAAAACAATTCTGGATAAAATTCCAAGCATGGGAGCATTTCACCTACTTCATTATGGAAATCTCTTGCAATGATTACCAACAAAATCAAGGATCTTCTATTAGTTAAGTCTGTTCCTGAGGCACATACATTGTTTCCAAATTACCCTGGCTTCCTCCCTCTTGTAACCTGCTATAATTTTTTCCACAAGGGTTAGTAAGTATTTCTGTTTGTCTAAAGCTGCCCACAAAGTGTCCCTTCCAGAACTATCCTTTTGAATTTTTATTAGGGGTAGAATATGTTGAATGATGCCTCTGTTAGACCAGATTTATGAATCCTATTAAATAATGCAGGAACAGGGGGTGGGTAGGAAGTGTGGGGGGTGAGGATGTGAGGAGGCAGATGTATGAAAAAGATTTCCAAATACTCCTAGTGGAAGTGGATCATTATGGCCTTTCCCAGAGAGGCAGGATCACGTGCTGATGTTTGCAATGGCATTGCCTAAGTGACCCTTGATAGACATTTGGGCCCCATATCCTGTCACAAACTCTGTGTCTCTGGACTTTAGATCCTCCTTACCTGTATCACCATACATGTCCTTTTCTCTTCTCCATCCATGGGGGATGCTTGGGGTGATCCAAGTCCCATTTTAGAGCTTTCAGTTAATTTTAATGATAAATCAACTAAATTCAGAAAGGAAATTATAAAAGATATTTTATTTTTACTTTGGTTTTCTATAAAACTGTCGGATATTTTGAACAATCATATAATGAGAAGTTATGTACTTGTCTGGGAGGGCTGTTTGACAATATCGATGAAAAGTGTTTCTAAAAACCACATATGAAGCCTCAAAAAATTTAAAAGGATTGCAGTCATACAAAGTATGCACCCCAACTATAATAGAATGAAATTAGAAATCAAAACACAGAGAGGAACTTGGGAAAGTCATAAGGATGTGGAAGTTAAACAGCATACTCCTAAATAACTAATCAATCAATGAAGAATCACAAAGATTAGTAGAAAATGCATTGAGGTGAATGAAAATAAAGACATATAACACAAAAATTTATGGGATGCAGCTAAAGAAGTACTTAGAGAAAAAATTTTAGCTGTAAATACCTATATTAAAAAAGAAGAAATATCTCTAATCAATAACCTAAACATCCACCTTAAGACACTGGAAAAAGAAGAGCAAGCTACATTTAAAACAAGTGGATGGAAGGAAATAATGAATTAGAATGGAAATCGATGACATAGAGAATATATAAACAGTGGAGAAAATCAACAAAATAAAAAGGTGGTTCTTTGAAAAGATTGGTGAAGTTGACATAGCTAGACTGACCAAGAAAAACAGAATACTTAGAGATAGAACTCAAATTACAACCCAAATATCCATCAAGTGATGAACAGATAAATACACTCTAGTATATCCATACAAGCAAATAGTACTCACCCATAAAAAGGAATGAAGTAGTGATGCATGCAGCAATGTGGATGGACCTTGAAAACGTTAGGCCAAGTGAAAGATTCCAGATACAAATGACTACAAATTGAATAATTCCATTTATCTGAAGTATCCAGAATAGGCAATTTCATAGAAACAGAAGTAGATGAATGGGTCCCTACGTCTGAAAAGGATGGGAGGATTGAGGAGTGATAGCTAAAGATAGGAGATTTGTTTTTAGGGTGTTGAAAGTGTTTTAAAATTGATTGTGGTAATGACTGCACTGTATACAAAACCACTGAATTGTGTACTTTAAATGGGTGAATGGTATAGTATATGAATTAAATCTCAATAAACATGTTACGAAAAAATTTTGTTTAAACCCTCCTATATTCTTCTCCAAATTCTGGATGTCTATCCTGGAAAAACACATATGTTCTCCATGATTTGAGTACAGAATATTAATCAAAATAATTTTTAAAGTCCATCAATGGGAAGTTTAAATAATTTATAATACATTTATACCATGGAATACCACACTGACATTAAAGAATGAGATAGATATTTTTCTGTATTAACTTAGCTGTATCTTCCACACATTGTTAAGTCCCATTCCTGAAAAGAAACTGTTTTCATATGTACATATATGTATGTAAATACACGGATAAAGGACTTGTGAGTGTATGTCAAACAATTAACAGTGTTTTCTTCAGGGGTGAGGAGATAAGTAGGTGGATGGGAAATAGAACAGGGGAAGTTGGATGGGGGAACTTGCACATTTTACTGGATAAATTTTTGTCTTGTTTGCATCTTTCCAACAACGAAGTGTTTCTGTATCACCAGTATAACATAAAAACAGTTAGAAAGCTGCATAAAATGGATGGGACACATGAACCAAATCCCAAGGCATTTTATACCATCAAATTGTGGCTGAGCGGAATGAACTGAGGTATCAGTGCCGGACACATATGTTGCTGGCTACTCTTATTAGAGCAGAGTTTTATCCTATGTGATACTTACTTTGGTAGAACAAGGAAGATGTTATGCTTTGACAAGAATTCTGTCTGGTGCATGTTCAAGCCTGTGTGTTTATTATTCCCTCTGCCTGGAATCCTCTTCCTGCAAATATCCACATCTAGTCCTCCCCACTCCTTTAGACCTTTGCTCAGATATTTTCTTCTCAGCCATTCTTGCCTGTCCATCCCACTCGAACTTTAATACTCACCCCCCCCCATTAGCCCATTCCCCTTCCTGCTTTATTTTTCTCCTTAGCACCTTCAGCCATTAGACAGCCTACAGCATCCACTTACTTGTCTAATGTCCATCTCGTCTCACTACAAGTTAAGTCTATGAAGGTAGGGACATTTGTCAAATGTCTCATGGCTGTAACCCAAGATCTAGAATGATATCTGGCATGTA